GGAACAATCTAGGAGAATTTTTTTGTATGTCCTGTAACAGAAGCTCAAACCCCACAACAGTTCACCTGGTCTTGTGCCAAATAATTCACCTGAAAAATTGCAGAAACTGAATTGCGTGTATTAAAACAAAACAGACAAACAAAAAAAAAAAAACAACAAAAAACCACCACACCAAAATAACAACAACAAGAAAAAAAAATACACATTTTGTTTTTTTAACCTTTCCTGTTTTCAGTTTTTTCTTTTTTTTCCTTCAGGATAAGATCTTGCTGGTAAAATTCAGATTTCAGCAGTTCAAATCAATGGCTGTACCCTACATCACTCCCTTTTTGAAGCTTGCATATAATAATACTTGTGAAAATTGAGTTAGATTGTACTGTTGCCAACAAATGCTATGAAATACATTAACAAACAGGAGCAGGTGCTCAAAGAAAGAGTTATTTTTCCTTTTGTTATTGGTGATTGGTGAGTAGTTAGGATTTATTTCGGTTTCTGGCATACAGCGAATTTCAGCATGGTTTCTGACACCAATCTCAAGATTTCTACTTTTGTGAATACAAAAGTAAGAGCTAGAGGAAACTAAAATCTAATGCAAGAAAAATAGTTTGCAATATTCCCAAGAGAGATGTGATTGAAAAAAGCATATTACCAGACCTGAAAAACAGGACTCCCACCAAAGCTGCCTGCACTGTATGTCCTCTTACTGGTATTATCATTCCTGTATTAGTGATGCAATTTCAATTATTTTTAAAAGATTGTAATTGATATATTATAAACTGATAAGAGACAGGCAGTTCTGAGCACAGAACACCTGCCAAGATACAATGACATGAAAGGCCTGTAGACAAGCTTCCAACACCACCTGTTAGTACACAACAGCATACTAACATGGATAGACACAATAACAGAATCAGAAGATAATGAAGAAATTCAATCCCTGAATAAGAGTCTTGAATATACTGGTATCACATCTCTGATATACAAAACTGTTATGTCTTCTCAAGTCTTTTAATTACACTGAAAGCTCCCTACGCTGCTCAGTTTCTCTCAGAGACACTTCAATAGTTAGTAATGGAAGTTGTGGGGACACACTTGAGGTCTCCACATAGCAGGTTTCTGACAGTCAAACAATGTCAGGACATCAGATACTCCTCCACTGGCATTCCGTTGGCCAGGACTCCTACATGCCATGCCCCAAATGAGCTCACACATTTTAACAGCACTTTGCCTCGCCTAGGATGTGATTTGAGCAGTGTAATGGATGCTAGCTGCTGGAACACCATAGTTCAGATTTCAGGACTGTCAGATAGAATGCTTCATCATTTACTGTGGTGACAATTAATAGCACACGCCAATCAAGAGTAAAGAGAATTTTTTAAAATCCTGACATAGCTACAAAACTTACATATAATACGAATAGAGGAGAAACTCACAAGCAAACAAAGAAAAGCAGAAAAGCATATTTTTAGCTGTCTGTCTCCAGATAACTGCATCAAAGATTCAGCTGCTATTTAGGCCATCTAATCACATACATGACTGCAAATCATGTTCTTATCTGCTTCTTGGACTAGGTCCTCAGGATAGCTTTTAGAGAAGAACTGCATGCTGAAGCACATTTCTTACCAGGAAGCTATCACTAATAGAAGAGTAAGATTGGCATAAATTAATGGATTATTGTATATATTAAATCAGTACAAAAAGTGAGTTTAATAACATTTAGACGAGCATTGACTAAAAATGCCAGGTATCTTTTATGTCCCTATTGAAATAAATACAAAGAAAACGATGAGTGTTACTGACAGCTTACATAAAATCAGTAACATTATTACAGAATATAATGTATCACAGGATATAATAATTAAACATTTTTTCAAGGCACCTGACTTCCTATATTTATTCTATTTTTTTGTTACCTCACTTGCATCTTGAACCTGATCTTCGAAGTAGTTAGAGAGTAAGGAGGTGTGTGATAGATCATTTAGTTTAAAAAGTGCAGGAAAAAAATAGAAATGAAGTTGTTTCTTTAAAGACTGGAATTGGAAACAATTATTTCTGCTCACGTTTCTTAAATCCTATGTAACCTAACACCTCTGGGTACAGCCTCTAGGGGTGAAGATAAAGAAACTGGTGTATCTCAAACCCCAGCCCAAGAAGGGATCTCCATAGATACCACAAGAACTTGTATTTTTTTCCTTAATACTTGAAAGCCAATATTTCTTCAGTGACATTATTTTTAAACAGAAAGCTTCAAATGTAATGAAAGATTTTATCTGCGTGCATTAGTGAACAGTTTGTGTTATAGTTTTTGGAGCATTTTTTACTAAAAGATCACTACATCCAGAGGTACCAATTCCCAATAAATACTGTCAGTTTGCTTGTGTGAATCAAACACTCATTGTGTGCAAGGTTTATACAAGGAAGCAAATACTCATGAAACCTTGTCACAGATATTCATGAAACTACGTATATTATGTACAAGACCAATGTTGCTAGGCAATAAAATACACAATGCACACAGAATAGCTTGATAGCAGAGAAAAACTAGAAATTATTTCAAGACTGAGTAAGCAGCAAAAATGCATCATTCTAACTGGTTAATTTCTGAGATGGATACTAACAGTACACAAGCCACAAAACTGATGACAGCAAGTTTAAAGGTTGTACAATCTAATGATGTCTGAGGATTTTCCAGACTGTATAAGTGTTATTGACCAAGAATTTCACTTTTATGGCTTCTCTTCCTACAGCAGAGCCTATGTAGCTCTTGAATACAGGAAGAATAGAGTAAAAGAACAAAAACATATTCCAAATGGGATATTATCTCCTTGTGCTGAGATCTTAAAACTTTTCAGCATGATAAAACCCTGCTGATAAAAGGATTTACAAGAAAGAAAAAGTAGTAAATCATATGTTTGGGGCAGTGTAGAAAAAGGGAATCAAAAGGACAACAGATTGAAAATAGTGAAAGAAAGAGTATTCTTCAGGTTCAGCTGGTCTAAGTCAGCATAGCCCCAGGGAAGTTATGCTCACTTAGGCCTGGTAGGAATCTGGCACAGCAACCTGAAAAAAGAAAGGGAAAATCTTAAGGATAAACAAAAGACTGGGGTTCAGCTGAAAGAAATACGTATCTTTCTTCTTCTGCAGAGAGGGAAGAAAATTCTCATCAACAGAGCTGTAGACGAGGGGAGGCAGAACAGAGAACTGAATAAGTAGAAAGAAACCTGGAGGCACAAAATATGAGAAGTAAAAAGAAAGTGACACAACAGAAGCATTTCCTAGTGGTAAAGAGAAACCTTTATGCCAGAAATGAAGAAAGAAGTGGTGGAGAAAAATAATGTCCTTTTAAGGTTTTCAAATATATTCTTATCAAGGTTATTCCATTTTGTGCACGCAAGTCAAATGTACTTTAAATATTGTTCTTGATTCATTGTCATCAACAATTTCCTTCTTCTTATACCATGAAAAAACACACAATTAAGTCCAGGTTAAGGTTTCCTCAATACAAATGATTTCACTTCTGGATCACTGCTAACCTTGTCACCCTAGAAAGATAGAACTTCCCAGCTGTGGTGATCAGTTGTCTCCCTGTGATCAGTGCAACGTGAAAAAGGTTACTTTACAATCAGGATCTTCAGTCAAGGGCAGCCTGCAGCGAACACACTGACGGGGTGGGGAGTGCACAAAAAGAAAGAATACCTACAAATGGTGAAAGTTCTTTCAGACTTAAAATACAGTATGTCATCAATTGAAATGATGAATTTTGTCAATGCTGTTTGACATCCAGAAGACAGCTATTAAATAAGCACTATTTATAAGCCGCTGCAAGCACACACACTATGAATACAGAGTGCTAAATGAAAATATGCTTTCATGTCACATCAGATTTTGCCTGCCCTTTGTTATGCCCACTAACACATGAAGTAATCCACAGCTCACAGACTGAGGATGCATTGTAACCTGGTGACTGGAACACTTCTCTAGAAAGGACATCCATATCTCTAAGTCACATACTTAGAACTCAAGTGAAATCCAGGCAGTGAATGTATTTGTATATATTTATGCATTTAACCAGTTGGGGCAGGTTATACAACTTCTCACTACTTCACAAACTGTTTATAAGTATCGTGTTGGAACAGTATTTTTGCCACACAGACTTTTAAAATACAAGATTTACAAATGACTAGCATTAGTTTGCATGTCTGCTGTCTCATACTAAACACAGCATTATTTCATAGATCAGTTGTTGTAGAGGTGGGTTAAATAGTTTATGTGGCCTGCCAAACACTAATTTAAAGTTAGTACTGTTTACGTTTCAACATTAAATTGAAACCTTGAGAAGAAGAGCACTTACACGGGATAGGAGGGTTCTTCTTTTTCCAAGCAAAACAAGACATCATCCTGCAACGCAGCTGACTGTGCAGAAGCCTAATGATCATGTTCCCTTTTGTTTTAAACACAAGTACTACTCCAGATGTTTTCCTTCTGAAAACACTTACTGGCACAGTGCCACGAAAAGTTCCACTTTTGAATATATAGTTCTCACACAACATAGCTCCCATACTTGAAAAACAGTATCTCAAAGCTAAGTAATTGCTCTGGGTAGTGTGAAAACTGAATACAATGAACATACAACAACCAAAAATGTAATGTGCGTATATAAGCCAAACGTTGTTACTAACCCCAGTAACCAAAATTATTTACTCCCAATGGCAAAATCCTGAATTTAGCTGAGATAATATAGAATACATAATAATATATAATACAGTAATATATAAGATAATACACATCTAATGCAGCAGGTATTCATATTGCATACATCTATACACTGTATTTATAGATACACACAGTTAAAATACACACCTAGGTACACACATTCTAACACTATGCAAAGACACAAGTAGGCCTAAGTTCTAAGCAAGGAATAGGTACAAATGAGTATATACAGAATAGGAAAACATATTATGTTGGACAACATTGTGTTGTCACTAAAACATACTCACCATTTGCAGAAGATCAGAAGAAACCATCTGCATGCAACACATCGCTGTTGCCAAAGCACAGACAATGGTGGAGATGATATTGAGAGCGCACACACTGAACAACAGGTCCTGTGAAAAGACATGCATCAGAATATCATCTCTTATCTCAGGGACACAAAGACAGGAAACATTTTTAGTAATTTGATAATGAACACTGTCACTTGTTAGCAAATTTACATGGTCTCAATTAGCTGCGTGGAATTCACTCAACGTGTAATACTTGCTTTAAATCAGTCAGCAAAGGAAACCCTCACATAAACAAACACCTTTAGGGGCATAGTTTAATGGAGGACTTGCTAGCATTATGTGATGGTCGCACCCAGTTATGTTGTGGGTCCTTTACAACACAAACGGTTGTACAGTCTTATCTTCCCCACTTAACAAAATACATTCAGTATTAGAAATTTCCTCAGAAATACTTGAAGTTTTCCAGTTTCCTAGCAAAGGATAAATTATCGCTTTCACATAGACTTCAAGTTGCAGATATCACTAGTAAAATACTAACAAACACTTTTCTGGTTAAAAACAAAACCACACATGAAGAAATGCCATCAACCAATCAGTGTTATTTGGTAAAAATACTAAATGGGAAAATTAGCATGAAACAGAGAATTTCATTCTGTATTAGATATATTGTGCATCTGAAACAGATCAGAAAGAAACAAGTACATTTTAAAGTATGGAAGAAAAGCACTGACTGTAAAAGTGCACTGTTTCTTTAAAAACTCTCTTTTCAACTACAACAAATACTTCTATTTACTAAGTAGAATAAAAAGAATATTTTAATTAAAATTGAAATACATTTAGGGTGAAGGCACAATTAGAAACAAAATAAAAACAACACAAACAAAAAACAAGCTAAAACAAAAACATAAGCATCCATTTCTTTCAATTACTGTATTTTTGTTTATTTTCCTTGCAGGTAAACAAAAGGAACTCTGATTCATCATGCTGATAACATTACAAAAACCACTAAAATCCTTCTCCGGCAACTGCCTACCTGCTGTACCTGTGACAATTACAAGCTCAGTCAGTATTCAGAATAGCCAGTAAAAACACAGCCATTTCAGGAGAAAAACAATCAAATTGTAACATATGAGCAAAAACACTCTGCATAAATGCATACTGCAGAATCTAACTTGTAAAATACTGTCACTTAGAGCCAACAGATTTAGCTAACCCAAATGCGTAACACAATACCATTTATGCTACGTAATACATTCTGCATCAAAGTTGTAAGTTAGGATCCAAAGCGTCCTTAAGACCCTCACCATACTCCTGTGCCTCAGGACAGTCACCAGTTCCTAAAGGTCACAGAGCTTCATCCTACTATTCCAACGTTCAACCATCTTTCCCATCAGAATATTTCCATCCAATTGTTTACAATCATTTCTCTTCCTCCACAGCTATTAAGAACAGACTATTACATGGTTAAGCTCCATCATCTCGCTTAGTGTTTTAATTCCTTTATTTTCTGACATTATCCCTTCCTTGAAATCCTAGACAGAGATTTTCTGGGCCCTGACTACTTTCATTTGGTTCACCTTCAAGCTGCCCCACATTCCTCCTGAAACGCAGAATTCTGAACAGGGCAGTGATGACTGAGGATTTTTGCAATTGTATATTGGTTTATCCATATAATCCTCGGATCCTTTCCTGAAGAACTGCCATCCTCCTCTTCCTGCTACTAGATAAGAAGAATAACCACATATATACAGACACATACATATTTAAATTGGAGAAATGCCAAATGAAAACCTCACTCTTACTTATATCTATTTTAGATTTGTGAAAGAGGTTTCCTCAATAGTTAGTCCCCATGTAAATCCAGTAGTAAAGTTCCTCAGGAACATAAAAAGGAGTGAAACACAGAAAACAAACCGAATCTGTACAATTACTCCTTAATTACAGAAAAACACAGACTGTGCTAAACTGAAAGGCACTAGATTAACTTGATTATAAATGCCTGTAACTTCAGGAAAACACAGGAGTAAAGCTTTAAAAGAGCAAATATTTTGATATTTCATTTTGCATCTATTTGGTTATTATTGCTATTAAATCAAGATATCACATCACACCTCTGTTGTTTCAAGTGTTACATACAAAATGCTAATATTAGATATTAAACTAGCTAATCTGAAAATAGTTTATGTGGAAAATAAAAAATTGGCCAGCCTCAAAATAGCATGATTTCACATCTACAGCTACTCCGCTCCTGTAACAGAAGACAAACACTAGAGATTCTCAAAATCTAAAGAGAGGTAATTAATTTTTAAAAGATTTCTAAAGTCTTTTTTAATTCAAACAGGAATCAAACCACAAACCATCCAGCAATATTCACTTCACCCTCTAACCCAATCCAAACCCCAAAAAACATTATTCAGTGTTTTGACAGATTGCTTTTTCAGGAAATTTCCTTCCTATGCCCTGTTGAGCAGACAATGAGGTAATTCATAAGACACTCGTTTGTTCAACAGTAATAGCAATAAGTCTCTGTGGCCAAACATACTACCCAGAAAGACAGTGTTGATGCTTATGCAGATCCAAGTTGTAACATGATGACAATTAAGATTTCCTTCAGGATATGTCTCTAAAAAGTCAGTAACCACAACAGAGACTAGCTTAATTCTCCACTGCACCTGCCCACAGACAGTTACAGGAGTAGGAAATCTGTATCTATCTGTAACTAATAGTGACAGTTGACTTCTGCAACATCTACACTGATGGGAGAATACAATGCATGAGCGAGTATGGTGTGAAATAGGTTTCTTTGCTTTCCAATTTTGTAACAGTTAAACCAATTTTATTATCATCCAGAATTTTTCTAAGTATATTTGCTCCTTTCTACAGACATAATCTGATGCTTCTGCACGTTCATGTAATAATTAATGCTCTGACTGGTATAATGTACCATATGAAATTATTCTGTCGCAGTTTATGTATATGATTTCCTTGCCATGCCTTAGCTCCATAGTAAAGACACAATTCCCTTTAAGAATAGATGTAGCTGTCAGAATTGCCTGTAAGCAGACCTGGATCAGTTCAGATTAATACCCACAGGAGTTGAATGGCACTGTGAGCTCTTCATGGCCAGCTGTTTTTCTGAACTAGCTCCCCAGTAAATCTCAAAAGCTGAATTTAATACCGATTTCAAAAAAAAATCTGCAGTGTTCTGTATTTGGAACACCTTAATAATTACCAAAATAATCATGCCATTAACTAAGTACCTGTTCATTGCTTTTTCCTTCCCTCTTAATAAACACTTTCTACTCACACTGTGGTTCTGCAAAGGATATTTGTGCATTCTCAATTGTGTTTTTTTTTTTTTCATGCTATCACCCATATGTTCTAAGGAAAAAAACCGAGCTAATGTCTTCTAAGCTTTTGTTAGTTTTACTGTTTTAATACTATTCCTATGCTACTGCAGCTCTATCTTTACTAGTGCAATTCAAATTATACATAGTTTATCTTCAGAATTTCATTATGCCAGTGATAGAACTCTGGACATCATCTGAAGTAAAATTCACTTTAGGAATTATAACTTAAAGAGACTCAGCTAGCCTATTTACCACCTACTAAGGTATTGATGATTAATCTAGTAGATGTTCTTAAACATTTATCAACTATCTTTTTTAAAAGCTAAATTTGCACGTGCCTTCTCTTTCTTTGTAGCACTTTCTTCTATAAAATAAGTAAAGACTACCTGATTAGAATCAAAAGTAAATTAACAACCCCATAGTAAAATAGATCATTTTACTTCCATCTTCCATCCCAAAAAGAAACAAATCTTTCAAACCTTAGCTAGAGATAAACTTGACTACTCCTCCAATCTGAAAGCAGTTAGGGCTACTAATAGAGCCAATAGAAGTATTTCAGTCAAAAATGCCATTTTGACATTGCACATTTATTTAACTTCATTTAGAATTTTGGCAAGAAACAGAGTTGGAGCTCTCAGTCAGATCTATTATGTAGCGATATATCACAGAACTATTTATGTTTGGGAAGGCTGTATGGAAACAGAAGAGAGATTCCTCAGACCCTTGCTCTTGTTTTTATGCATTAGCACTGCTTATGCTGAAATACTTCCCTCCCTGGGTTTATGTCTACTTGCTAGACTGGAATGTGTTATGGAATGTGCTATTGTTGGTTTGTAGAAAATCTGATTTTTTCAAGCTGGTTGTAATAAAGGATTTACTCTGTTCCAAAATTTAACCATTATCAGCATTATTTTACTGATGCCATAACTACAAAATCTTCATGTGTTTCTATCCAGCTTAGCTATAGGGCAAGTTTACACACATCAGAATCAATCATAAGTTAGTTTTTCTGGTGCTCTCAGGTACGCAAGCAGGCATTGCTGGCTATACAAATTGAAAGGTCTATTACATAGAACCCAATCGCACTACAAGTAGAGCTCTCCAGCAAAGTGACAGCTTAATATTTTGCAGCACCATTCTTTTAGCATCCTTAACCACGGCCCTGTAAAAAGATCTCTGATTCCTTTTTTTGAAAGCTGTACTTTCTCTTCAACATTCAAAACATGTTCACTTTTCTTTAATGCAATTGCTTTTAGACCTTAGCTGATGAATGCAAGCTGCCTTAGCTTCGATTTTTGCAAGTATGATTTACAGACTACATTGCTTACTACATTTCCACACAAGAAAATATGAAAATAACAATGTTGCTATCTCATAAACCTCTGGAAACTCTTAAATTTACAGGAAATACACCAGAAGTCAAATTTAAAATACATTTTCTTTTATGTTCTACATAATAATATCTAGTAAATTCAATCCTATCTGCTGAAAAGAAAGCTAATGAACTGTGAGACATCCAAAAACAGGTACCCATCATATTTTCCCAAAAGGCTGCAAAAGGCCTGACCTCAAATTTTGTTTTTAGAGCATATTTTTTCATGTATTCACACTGAAAATAAACATAATTCATTGGAATCTTGTGTCAAGGTCTGTGTTTCATTTAGTACCAGCAGAGCAGGAGAGTTTTCTGTTTCCTCAGTGCAACATGTGAGTTAAGTTATCTCACATTCACTACTGGAAGGGAATGTGAAA